GTACAGTGCAGTAAGGTACAGCCTGCTGCAACACCGAAGATTCCTTCCCTCTTGCCTCTTCTTGGGTACTTTTAGTCTTTCTTTTTTCTGTGTTTTTTGTTTATTTTTTTTTCCTTTTCTTTTTCATTCTGTTATTATTCTCAAAATGGATACTGTCATGTAAGACAGTGCTCCAAAATTTACACTTAGACAAGCCACCTGGCAGGTTCAGATCAGGAAATCACATGCTCCAGCTATACTACATCTTATTCTGCAGCTTGACAGCAGTAAGGAATTTAAAAATCACTGTGATCATGCCTGGGAACACACAGCAGAGAGCTGGAGTGAAATGACAGCATCCCTGAGAAGGCTTCTGTTCCTTAGGGGAATGTCTGGCTTGCCAGCAAGGAGTTCAAAGCAAACTGTGGGGTTTGCTTGGCATCTTCTAAGTCTCTTACGCCCTTCTACAAGAGCTCCTAGATGTTAAGTGGGGTATTATCTACCAGTTTTTCTTTCTCTCTCATTTATTTATTTATTTATTTTTCAATTGAGTGCTACTTGCAGCACTGCAATTATGCCGCTTTGTTTAAGTATCCTGTTAATTTTCAAGACTGTACAGGCCAAGAGATGCTGAGAATATCTGTAGGAATTCAAACAGAGCTGGTATTTAACCTATTACTGGAGCACAGCATAGCCCAACATTACGTACACTCATTTTGGTAGCCACCTTGAAAGGACCAGAGGCAGGAAAATTTGAGCTGCTATTTCATCTTAAAACTAGGGTATCACTCCAGGTGTTAGAAATGCACTCAAGAGCCCATGGAATCGAGTTCTTTACTATGAGAGTGGTGAGGTGCTGGAACAGGCTGCCCAGAGAGGTTGCAGATGCCCCGTTCCTGAAGGTGTTCAAAGCCAGGTTGGATGAAGACCTGGGCAGCCTGGTCTAGCATTAAATGGGCAGGTTGCTGGGCCCTGCCTGTGATGGAGGGAGGTTGGAGGTTCATGATCCTTGAGGTCCCTTCCAATCCAAGCCATTCTGTATGATTCTGAGTCAGAAAAAAGACTTTTCTTAGACTGTGGGAGTTGGATCATGCTTCACATTGTAAGGACAGTCAGCATCTTCATCGGAAGCATAGAGCTGGTAGCCCTCTCCTCACATCCAGCATCAATCATGGAAGAGGTTTTTAATCCCAAGGATTAAGGGAGCCTTGTATGGCAGCAGCCCTACAGACCACAGGAAGAAGCCCCAAAACATGCTATGCAATGGAACGGAAACAAGGGCTTCAACAAAGCCCAAGTATCTGAGAGCAGCAACAAGGAAACCTTCCTTTTGAATCTTTTTTTTTTCTTCTAATACTTCTTTTGAAAAAAAAAGTGTGGCCATTTTTAGCCTTCTTTCAACCTGTTCTTGCATTGGAATCTGTTCCTGCTGCTCCTGGTTTCCACACAGTGCTTCTACATATGAAGAAGCAAGGCTGACACTGGCAGTACTTCTATTTGGGAGTGTCCTTGTTTCATTACTTGGAGTATTCTAGGTTTAAATCTAATTATGCGTTTAAAAAAGCCTCTGATAGGTGGAGCAACAGAAGACTTGTCCTCACTTCTCAGCGCTTTTGAGGGCAGACACACGGCCAGCCATCCTATCTTACTGTTCACCAGGTGCTTTGACACGGTGGGGTGATGAACAACAACAGAAACTCTCCACAGTCATTGGCAAGAACCAGGTCAAACGATATTGGGTTACTTCCCACGGGAAGGCCCTGCAATGAAGATAAACTGTGTTTATCTGACATGAATGGCTGGGAGATTACATCATTGGACATACACAGCACCCACATGCTAACACCTGCTACACCCAAAGTGGGCCCTGTTTAGCATCTGCTTTTCTTATGTTGATGCATTGTTCTGGCTGAGCTAGCTTGAAACGATTTAGGAAAGCACCCTGAGCATTGCTGAGCAGAGATAGCACCAATACGGATGTAGAGGCATTGTTGAGTCAAGCTCTACATGGGATGTTCTGCCAAATGGTTCCCTTCCCTTCCTTTTCTCATTTCCTTGTTCTCCTTCACCGAAGAATGCTAATCCCTTTATTTGTTTATGCACAAACTGGTGACTTTCCAGACCTGCTATAAATGACATCTGACCATTAGACTTTTCTGGAAAGGGACAGCAAGAGAAACTGGTAATTGACTTCCTGCATTGATGAGTTGATGGCAGCTCAATTTGTCCCCATGGACATGTAGATTTTGATTTTGCTGTGTTTGTTCAGAATATGGACAGCACTGCACTAATAGCTGCCTTATTGCTAGCAAAAAGGAAAATACTACAGCTACTTTAATTCTTCTCTTTTATTGAAAAATTGATTTCAATACCTATTTCTGTCCTACTTCAACTCTAGAAACAACATATTTGCGATGTCTTGCTCATCCAAAGCAGCAAGCTTCTGATGTTTCATTCACAACACTTTAAAAAAAAAGCATCCACACGACTGCCTGGAAGGAGAAAAGTGCATTCCGTAGTTGTATTACAGTCTGTAATAGATAAAAAATGTGTTGATCATTTACAAATGTTTCCACGATGTCAAAGCTCATAGAAATCCAGGATCAACCATGCATTTCATAAATGTGGAAAAAGGAGTAGCTTTCTCACTGATGGATTAGTTGAGTGCTCTCTCAAGAGCACTATAGAGGAACAAGAGGAACTCTTAGAGGAATTCTTCTAGGACTTAGGAGTTGTGGTGCATGAAAAGCTGTGCATGAGCCAGCAGTGTGTGCTTGCAGCCCAAAAAGCCAACAGTATCCTGACGCACTGCATCAACCGAGGGGTAGACGCAGGGAGAAGGAAGGGATTGTCCTTCTCTGCTCCTCATGCATTGAGTACTACATCCAGATCTGTGTCGTCAGCACAAGAAGGAATCGAAGCTGCTGCAGCAGGTCCAGAGGAGGCCATGAAGATACTCAGAAGGCTGGAGCACCTCTCCTATCAAGAAAGGCTGAGGGAGCTGGACTTGTTCAGCCTGGAAAAGAGAAGGCTCCAGGAAGACCTCACTACAGCCCTTCAGTATCAAAACAGAGCATATAAGCAGGAGGGAGACCAACTTCTTACGCAGGCTGATAGACAGGAAAAGGGGAACAGCTTTAAACTAAAAGAGTGTAGATTTAAGTTAGATTTGGGAAAGCCATTACTCAGAGGGCAGTGAGGCCCTGGCACAGCTGCCCATAGAAGTTGTGGTACTCCATCCCTGGAGATGCTCAAGGCTAGTTGGTTGGGGCCCTGGGCAGCCCCAGCTGGTGGGGGACAGTCCTGCCCAGAGCAGGGGATTAGGACTGGGAGACCTTTAAGGGCCCAGTCAATCTAAGCCATTCTGTTGTGATTCTATGACTTGAGATGGTAAGCTGCAATTCAGGAAGCCTTACACCCTGCAATCTACTTTTTAAACTCTGTACTCATTGACATGAAAGCATGTGCACATTTCAGACACTGTTGAAGAGCGTGTCGCTTTGGTGCAGGAGAAAAAGCATCTGCCACACTGCTAACTAAGCATGGAGGCACCAACAGACAGCACTTTCATTGTTGGATTTCAAAAATTCCTCAAAATTAAATATGTAGGAGTAAATTCTAGGCTTTAGTCAGGATCTCTTTGCCTTGTAGGTGCATTAACTGAAATTTTTTTTGTCAGTTTATTTCCAAGCTAGCATGGCTTTTCTGCTTGTTCATGGCACTAACTGGTGAGATGAATTAGTTAGAGATGGTGCTCAACTGTCCCACATAACTCCCTCCAAAGGCTGTACTCACTGCCATGAGCAGCAATAATCCCAAAGACCATCACCTTCCCTGATGCAGCTGGGCATTGCAGAGCAGACTACTAAAGTTATACCACCAAGTACAGCTGCAAGCATCCAGAGGATTCCTGTTTTCTTGTTCCTCCACAGAAAACAAATTCTCTGCTTTATCTATTAACATGCTTAGTGACGTTGTTGCAGGCCTTAAAAGAATAGTACCATAATGTTATTACTGCAAATGAAGCAGTACGTATATATTCATATATATATTATATACAGACCTGACTTATAAGGAGTCCTTTTGGTCCCTTAACCTAGCATCTGACACATGGGAGCTAGTGCTCTTAAAGCACTCCCATTCATTCCTCTGCTGCATTTGGGTTCCTCCCTTGCCTGTGTTCCCTTGCTCATTCATTTAACCAGAGTACTTCTGTATTCCCACTTCCTTTTTCCCATTCATCCTTCACCTTTGTACCCATCCCTTTTCCATGACATACTTACCCTCTGCTTGCAGTAGGAACAAATTCTATTCCTGGTGAAGAGCTGTATGGAACCAAGTTGGGGGTTCTTTAATTACTCTTAACAATGTCCCACATGTGCAGGTTGCTATGACCCCCCACAGTCCTACTGCTAACCTTCAAAGAGCTTTGCTGCAGCCCCACTTTCATCATAGGGTAATCGTGGTTGCTGGAGCCCACACAAGTAAAATTGCTCTGGTCACAACCAGTCCTGATTTTAGCTGGTCACATGAGTGCGTGCCAAAATGATTTTTCACTATTATTCTCTTTGGAAAATGGTGGTGTTAGGGATCAGTACTGCCTCCTGTACACACAGGGTCAGAAGCATGAAAAGCACAGCACACTTCCATTCAGGTGAATTCACTTTCCACGGGGAAGTGCAGAAGCATAGTTCAGCTATATGTTTCAACACGAAAATTATATATATATATTTTTAAAAGTAAAGGCTGTTTTAGAATAGCATGAAACTTGGAAACCTCAAACTCCAGCTGCCTCGCTGATTTACTTGTGAGCAACACCCACAGGCATGCAGAGATTCTTCAGTATCTTGACTTGTGATGCTACCTCTTGGGAAATGTAAGTATAAAAAAAAAAAAAGTAAACTTGTATTAAAAAAAATTATCCCCATCTTCTTATTTCAGAATCCAGGTAAAAGGCTATGGACTTCACATACAGACATACAGTAGACTATTTCATCAAAATGAAACTACTGAGTTCGGCACCAGTTTGAGAGTTTTATTAAAACCACAGGTCTCCATTTTGTACAAAACTGAGGAGCTTTCTTTTTTCAAAAGCTTATTAACCACACCAGAAATAATGCAGTGTAAATGGTTTGTTAATAAAAATCTTTCTGTAAGCTATATACAGGATGAATACCACACAACTGTATAAATGTAAAGACTCTTGGCAACTTCAGCAATATATACAAACTACCTTTAAACACATAAATATGGTATTTACAGCTAATAAATAACATTCAAGGCTAAATCATGTGTCCCCATGTAAAAGAATCTTCATTATTTTGAATCCAAGTTCCGTATGTATTTGTATTAGATCCTGTATTAAAGGCATACCTGTTTACACACATTTTATTTCCAGAAAACTTTCACTCTTAATGAGAAAACTGCAACAGAATGTGAAGTCTGGAGGGAATATATCATTGTATTTATTTTTAGAGGCCTCAATAGCAGTGGCTCAATACTCAGCCCCACCCTCAGTGACTCATCCTATCTCTGCCATAGTGAGGAAATCAAATGTAAGCAGTTTTGGAGTTATTAATATTCCAACGTATTGCACTGTTTATAACTTTTATCCCCATATATACTAGCAGCCATGGCTAGGAAGAAAACAACTGTGCACATACATGTATTTCTGTTGGTTTTGTATCAAATATAGGATCTTAGAGGATCACCACCTCCACATTTTGTCTTGCACATGTGGGAAAAGACTGAAAACCAGCACCAATAGCTCACATTACATTTCTCGAAATGCCTATCTTCAAACCCTTCTGCCTCCCCAGTTTTTTGTTTATTGACTAGAAAACTAAAGGCTATTTTTTTTTTTTCCAAGCGTAAGAAAAATCTTGCATTACTTGAAGAAAGAAAAAGCAAAAAGCCTTCAATACATCTATTTTTGGCAACTCACAGCACGTCCAATTCAAGTGTTTTTCAGAGCATTCATTTTTGTGCATCACAAAATCAGGCTCCTTTAAATGTCACAGCTCCTGCTCCCTGCTGAATTCCACCTCAGATCAGAAAACCAAGCAACTCCTAGGATGTACCATTCTATCACAGCCAAGCAGCAGAAGCTGGTCACTGGAAGTCACAATTCCAGCACAGGGAAGCAGGAGTATATTTGTCACCTGGCAACTGGTTTCAGTTGCACCAAAAACTGGATACAGCTGCCACTCAGCTGAGTGACTGACATTCAGTTTTAAAATGCATTTCTTTGTAGCTTAATTCCATTGCAGTTTCTTAGTGATGGAAGTTAGATGACTCCATTCTTGAGGGATGAAAGCATGAATGAAAAGTTGAATGCCTGCAGAGGACACTGGTATTGCTGTCTTCTCCTATTGCTATTTATTCCAGGATAAGCTGCATGGGATTACATATCTTAATAGATCATAACTATTGCTAAGAAGCATTGGCATCTACACCCAGTAAACCACATTCATAACCACAACCCAGAAGATTCATCCCCATATTGAACCAGTCCCTGACATCTGTTATAGCTTTACACACAAGGGTATTTTTTCTATGAAAAACTACTCACTTGCCAAACACACTTGAAGACAATGAATTCTAGCCTCTGAACTGTCTGAAAATTCAGTTAGCAAGGCCAGGAGAACAACAACAACAAAAAAGAAAGATCTGCAGTTCCAGAAGATTTCTTAAAAAGTAAAAATTAGAAACAAAAAAAACACTAAGAAGAGACCAAGTACAGAAGCTTTGTGTCTTTTCAATAAATACTACAAAACTGATAAAGAGGAGTTGACATCAAGAAACTGTCACAAGGCACCAGGATTAAGCAAAATTACTTATTTCTTCCTAACACTCAAGCCTTTAGCAAGTTGTTGCAGAGGTTTCTTTGTTTTTAACTATTCAGATAACATAACTTTATGGTTAGTAACTTTGTATGCTGAGACTTCCTTACAAGAAGCTTCCTAATATAGCTAGATAAAGCAGGCAAAAAAAGCCGGCAGCAGATAAATATTTCTATATATTCAGATCTGAACATCCACTTCAATGATGAACAGATTCCCTCCTCCTCCCCAGTGTGGAAAATCTCATTCTTGCCACTTTTTAAGCAGACTCATGTGCAGAATTTTCTTTAGAGGCTTTCTTGGCACTGTGGAAAGAAAAAAATAAAATACAGATTTGTTAAAGAGAAAGACATGAGGTGCTTATTTCATTTGTCTTATTGAGGCTTAGGTTTTAAAACTACTACTTAGAAGGAGAGTTGTGTGTTTGGGTTTTTCTTGGCCACTGCTGGATTTTACAAGTGTATGACAAAGACACACCTCTCTCAAGGGCTCACCAGGTCATTGCCCTGGAGTGAAGATCCAGACACGTGCTTCAGATCTCAGTCTACAAACGTCCCCGTGAGACCTTTCACTCAAAGCAACTGCACTAAAATAAATATAACCACTTCTTCAGTTCAAACTTCAGTGGATAAAGTCCAAATAAAATTGGCCTCAAAGTTGAAAGTTTAATCTAGGTCAGAAAAGTTACTAATAAAAAAAGAAAAATGCACTTGCATGTATCTGCTTTGCTCTGTACCAGCCTTCAGATCTGTAACTGGCTTGTGAGATGAAAGGGCTCAATACTGACTGAGTGCAGATGCCTGGACATCCCTGTATTAGTGGTGAATCTCAGACATCTTCAGATATAGGAAAGCTTTCCTCTATTTTAGTACTTGGTCCATAAATCCCCTTTGGCTGCTGTGAGAGCGTGAGAGATAGTGACTTGCACTTGCTTTGCAGATGTGCTAACAGCCGCACAAGGAAATGGTCAGTAGAGAATGACAGTTGGGGATTTTAAGCTGCCCAAGGTTGCCTCAGGTTAGATTGAGCTGGGATGCTTCTGAATTTTTTAGATGAGTGCAGAAATCGGCCATATCTTGAAAGTTGTATGAAATCCTCCCACAGCCTTAAGATAATAATGCTCAGTCTTACCCTCCCCTCTTCCTGCTGACAGGCTGCTCAAGGCACTTCACAAATATTGCTGCCTCTTCTCCTTTACCAAGACGTGAGCTGCCATCTCGAGAACAGAATACCACCCTGTGAAAGAAACACTGGACATTCAGATCATCCTATTTTAATTGTAGAAACACTACACCAAACAGCAGCATTCACACTACTGTGTGGGTACTACTACTTTACCAGCCTGTGAGAATCACTGGCAGAAAACTGTTAGAAAAGAATTCTCAAAGAATCCCTATGCAAGAAAAACTGGAAAAACACATCAGACACAGACTTCAAACCACAGTCTAAGTTTCATTAGTCTTCTGCATAAAAATCTTTAGGCTAAGAGACCAGAGGCTCTACTACAACCTTCTGTATCTTCTTTATTTACTACAATCATATGACTTTTTTTCCAGGTTAATGATCTTGGAAGAAAGCCTTGCTCCCTTCAATATTTGCACAGAGTCGGTTGCCAATTCCAGCAAACCTAAGCAGTTGCTTTTCCATTTATCAGTACTTTCCCAACCCTTATATTTGTTCAGTTCTGATAACTGCTTTTTGATAAAGGGACAGCCTTGTTTATTTAAAGGAGTAACATACTATTCATGACGCTACACAGGATATGCAAATTCTCTGTTCCAGATATATTTTTTGTGAACAGATCTCACATCTAATGAATCTAAATACTTCAAAAGATTCAGGTGAAAGCAGTATTGAAAAAACGAAGTGCTGTTTTAGCATTCGTGTATTAGCAACATCCTGTAATATTTATGCATTTAAGCTCCCACCCAGCCACTCAGCTAACCCCAACTCCCAAGAAAACCCAACTTATTATCTCCCAAGCAAATGCACTTTTTAGAAACCTTTCCGAAATCTCCATCTTTGCTGTACAAACATCCAGCAAATGAAAGGAGGAAAGGAACTGCAAACACGATCAGAGCTGCTCGCTCATGGAGATCCTCTCTTGCATATTGTAAGCAATCTGAGGCAAGTGAGCAGAGGGATGCAAATGAATCCTGTGGGAGTGAAATTACAGACTGCAGATCCTAGTGGAAGAAAACAGCTGAATCTGACTGAAATAAATGCAGATTTGCAGCTGCATGAGTCTTGACTATCAGTTCTGCACTCATTTGTAACTGTTTTCCATGTTTTGTCCCACCCTGTGAGATACCAGGATTAAGGAAACACTGGCAAGTACAATTCAAGGCAAGCAAAGCAAGTTACTTTTTCTGAGTTTCGCCTGACTTCACTCTGACTCTCTGGATGGTGAATGCAAATGGAGTCCACCAGTCTGACCAGCTGAAGAAGGTATCTTTCTCCCACTGCAGCTTTAGCATAAGCAGGTCACCAATGTCCACTTCTGTGTAGATCAGGAAGGAGAAGGTCTTGTTGGAAGAGATTTCAGGCCTGTAAGGAATCAGAGAAAAGAAAAAAAAATTATTGCAGAAGTCTTAAGAGCCAGAAAGGCCAAAAGTCTTAAGTAATCTACCCTAAAAATTAGAAGGATAGTAGTTTTCTTATCTAAAGGACAGAAAACTTGAAGAGAAAACAAAACCAAGGCCTCTTGTACTTCAGAGGGGGAGAAAGAAAACTGTCGGCCATAATTCTACTGGATGGAACAAGATAAAGACACCTGATGGTTTTGCAGAAACAAACTTGGAAAAGTTTCTGCTGGAAGCTAGAAAAAATCCTGGGGCAGATAATCATGCAAGAGATATATTCTCCATTGCTGGTGTTTCTCAGGCATTTGTTAGACAAGCACCAGCCAGGAACAGTTTTGGTAAAGCATTTCCTTGTTGAGAAAACACACTTTGGTGCTTCCCAACCCCATCCCCTTCCAGCCCACATACAGAATGTCTGATTTATGCTTCTTAGCAGAGCTTTGGAAACATGTCTCCCTCAGCTTCCACCTTGACGACATCTAACAATTAATTCTAGGTCATAGTCTAGTTTGGAAGGAGCTTTAACACAGGTGAACATTACAAAGATTCAGAAAGGGAGATGGGGAAAAAAAATCCACACTACAAAAATTCTTACTGGTCTGACCTATTGCTGACCTTCTCACATCCGTGTTTCAGATCTCTTATAAGGAATGGTGTCTACAGAGCTTAGATCCTTACTTTTTTTTCCAATAGATAAATAATGCATCTACTTGATTAAAAACAACAACAGATTCTGGGACCCTGTAAGATGAGCTTCTGGATCTGGAGCTAGAACCCTGAGTACTTCAGCAGAGGCTTTTAACTGATTTAAGCTGGACTAAGCAGTGCATAGTTGTTTTTTTGTAGCTACTCACAGTGTGAAAGCAATGTTCTCACTCTCATCTAGAGTGCCATACAGAGAGATCAGGAATGGCTGGTCTACCTTGGTCACACTGGTCTTTCCAAAGAAATGTATCTTGACCTGATAATGGAAGACTGGAAGAAGAACACAAAAGAAGAGGCCATTATGGAAAAAAAAACTCTCAAGCTCCAAAAGTGACAAATACACAAAAAGCCCTGCACATAACCTATGATGGCATACATAAGTATCATTAAACCAAGCCCTGTGGGCATTCAGGACAGTGCACAATATTTGCAACCCTTTACATGAAGCAAAAGAGTTATGTCCTCCTAATACAGGAGCTTTGGTGAAGAGAAATTCAGCTTTCTGACACCACAGATTAAGACTGAAAGGCCAACAAAACATTGCTGTTGCAGCTATTCTAAAACAGCGTTCTAAAACATATTCTAAAACAGGAACGTCCTTGTGATTGCTGCTTCATCACAAAATGCACACAGCAATAAACATAGCACATGGCACAGTCAAAGCTACAGAGAAAATAAAGAGAAAGTAAAAAAAAAAAAAAACAACAACAACTCCAATTTGCAGTTATTTTCCTAGCTGAAAGCCATCCAGTTCTTTCTGCAATGTCCATTGCAGGCCTACCACGGTGGCAATGGAAGACAGGAACTGCTGTGAGATTTTAACATGGGAGTGGCGCTCGTCTGGCAAAAACAGTATGAGAATCTGACAAGTCTGATGGCTGCACATCTTTAAAGAAATTACTCATCAGGCTGATCTCTTCTGATTATTTTCCCAGCAGCAGGAAAAATTCAACTGGATGAAAATAGTGAAAAATTCAGAAGATTCAGTTGTTCCAAACTGAGTCACTGTCTGGGGTGCAGAATAAATTTTCCTTTCATTCTGTCACTTAGAAGTTTCTTCCAGAACATTCTTCATGTTGTATTCATGTACCACCACATCTTGAATAAAATGACATTATTTTCTAATCCTGAACTTTAGCTTGCAGATAAGCTAAATGCAGACAAGCTTGATCCCTGCTCACTGTAGGCATCAATGCAGCAATACTACCCAGTTGCAGCATGATTCAATGTGCACAGTGGTTATAAGGTAATAGTTGGACTTCATTATCTTAGTGATCTTTACCAATCTTAAAGACTTTATGCACCCACCCTGGTTCACAGCTGAACAAAAGCAGCAGCAGTGCTTACCAGTAAGCCACAGAACCTACCTTTGTAGGGCATCTGAGCGCGGGTCTTCAAGTACATTTTGGTGTTTCTCTTTGTTCTCACTCTATTGACTTTATAACCCAAGTTGTTGCAACGGTTCTTCCGGCAGCTTAGGCAGAGGCCCTTCTCAAAGGCTTCTTTTGTGTTGCAGCGGTAGGCCATGCTGGGCTTCTCTTCATAGAGGAGTGAGTCAATAAAGAGATGAATGGATCGCTCATGAGAGCACTTCACCAGCTGATCCACATCTTCAAAGAAAAAAATATAGAGAATATGTACGCATACACAGAAACCTGTAAGCAGTGACATAAACAAGCAAGAAACACTAACTGGGCTTTATACCAAAAGTTTTGAAAGCACTTAAAGGAGCAAACCTCAGTCATCCAAAGCAGAGACGTGGATACAGATCTCCCTTCAGATGTTATACTATTTGTTTCAGAGCAGCCTCACCTGAAAAGCCTTTTTCAGCAATCAGGCGGAGAGCTTCTCCCAAGTTGCAGCCTGGCTGGAAACCTCCACCATTAGGGTAGATATCGATGTGTCCAACGGGTTTCTGAATCCCAATGCTGCGGTCTGGAGAGCCTCGAGTGTAGGTGTGCAGAACATCCACAAAGTCAGCATCATCCGGGGAAAGGCGGATAGGGGCATCAGCATACTCGAAGGTGGGACCAGCAGGATCCAGACCTTTATTGCAAACCACAAAGAATAACTGAGATGATCATCTGTCAATACACTGGCAATGACAGAAAATGCTAAACTTAGGTACTATGTTGCACTGGACTACTCATATGGCATCACTGAAGACATTACAGTCGAGTCATTTAAGTAACACTGTGTAGGCAGGAGAACTAAATACACTACCTCTATGTGCTGTCACTATTTCAAACATAAGGTATATGTAAAAACATATAAAGAAGCACAGATATCTTCTCCACAGTAGTGTTTCCAGTGGACAGAGAAACGCTAGTAAATATTTTCCTTGGTGTTTTCTCCTCTTGTCGAGAAACAAAGAAACTGTTAATTTCTATTTGAAGTATGGAAAGCGTCTTGCTGCTCTCTCCTAGAGAAACTGGGAAACGTAAATGAGAGCTTCACTGTCCACACGCCTAAGGAGAGTGACATTCTAACATAAAAGTGTCAGTAATCTGCAGCTTGACATAAGAAAAAAAACACAACCAGATCCATTCTGCCAGTGAGCAAGAGCTCCCATTCATAACGCATGCACTAACAGCTTTTGTTACGGTGCCATCTCTGGCATCCAGACAAACTACTTAAGAGATGGCTGATAGACCTGTCCCCACAATACATATTTCCTGCACCCAGCTCTGCCCACCCAGATCAGATGAACATACTGTGAGTTGCCTCCCACTGCTGTGAAAGCTTCAGGGACTACATTCCATCATTTCCTCTGCTTAAAGGCAATGCTGTTTCCCAGGAAAAAGTCCATCCTGGACACCAAAGGACAATTGTGAGGGTCACTGGTGTTTGAGTGATTTGGCAACCTCAGTGAAACAAAAAAAGCAGGAGGCTGAGAGGAAGGAAGGGTAGAGGAAATAATGCTCTGGCCACCTGATGTACTCCGCTGCCTCTTGGGAATCAGTCCTTCCTAAAGCTACTGCTACCTAGGCCACCCTGCAGCACCCCCATGGATCTGAGATGACAGTGGGTCTTGTTGAAAAGGCCTTTGATGTTCGGAAGAAGGGAGCTAGGCTCTGCCCTGAATGTGGCCCTGAAGCTATCTTGGTAATGAAGAAATCAGATGAGTGATTTTCTTAGCCTCATTTGCTGACATTGGCACTTCCTTTCTCACTGAGATTAGTGCTGAGGCAATGAAGAGCTCAAATCTCCAGGCACTGGGCTGTAAACCAAACAGTCATGCCACAGCACACTACCTTATCTAATATACTATTCAGCCTCCAAAATTATGAAAATGACTCAAACCAGATATCTAAGTAATGCATGTGAGCAGATCAAGCATAGGTGTACTTCCTTACCCTTCCAAAAACTCTTCCCAATGTTATTTTCAAGATTATCTGCACCATGTGTTACGACTTATTTTTCACTAACCCACAGCAGATTTCTTCAGAACATTTATCCAGTCTCCCCTTGAACTTACACAGACCTCTTGCATGTACAACTTCCCTCAACAATAAGCTCTGCAGGTACTACAACCACTGCAGGTGGATTGACCTCCTGCTCTTCCTGAACAGGATCCTAGCATCTGCAAAGGATGACCATCTGGATGAAGACAACTACCTGAAGTTCTGCAGCTGCAAGAGAAATCTTCCTCAGTACGCGCATTTGGCAAGCTACAATCCCATTCCCCCAGGCTAGTTTCTTCATGGCTGATAAATCCACCTACTTACTCATTGCTTGCACATAAGCAGAGCAAGGCTTCTCACTCACTGCTACCCTGTGTTGATCTTTTACTAATCTTTTCCATCTCTGCTACAAAAATATCAGATTCTGATTCAATGTAGAATGAACACATAGCCTAAGTACACCCACCAAGCAACAATTACTGTGGCAATATTTCAGTATAAAGGGAAGACTTTCCACTCTACAACCACAGGTTTTCTTACCAGTAATTCTGTTCACCTTCTTCTTGGTTAGACTCCCAGCAATCCCAGCAGCATGAGCACCCAGACTGTACCCCAGCAAGTGGACATTATTGAGAGGGTAATTGAATTTCTCCTGCAGAAGAGAGCTTCATTTAAAATCTGATATCAAACAGGATAGCATCAGATGACAAAGAAAAGTATTTTATACAAACCGTGATTTCTCTTTGGGTCACAAATAACAAAAAAACACTAAATATAGTTGACATAACCTTGCTTTATATAAGCTTGCTTGAATCTACTGCCTTAAGGCAAAAAAAATATCTACATAGAGAAAAATGCAGAATTACGGACAGAATCTAAGGCTCTGTATTATAGAAAATGTTTTCAGCCATCCTTTCTCCCCAGCTTTTGGATCACCTAAGTATTTCCCAAAAGCAAGTCACATTTTTAACAGTTTGCCAAGTGGTGGCTGCTATATAATATGTAGGAACCTGTCTTTCATAGCTACCTCTCATAGAGCCTTCAGAAATTTTCTGTGGACCCACAGGACTCCACAGACCACAAGGTGAATAAATCTCTGGGCTGTAATACAAAAGGCCTCCTTGTCAAAGGGACAGCCTTAGATTAAAGCTGGGATTTTACCAGCCCAGCCGAACACAGTCTGCCACAGCTTAACTCAGTCTATGCAAAAGGAGACAATTAACTCTTTATGTCTGCTGCATCAGTGGCATGAAGATTAAACTGTTGCATTGTTGTTGTGTCCCCTGGAAGATTACATGTGAGACACACGACTACATGCCTTACCTCCATCCAGTCAATAAACATAGCAACATCCTTTCCCACCAGCTTCGTGTAAGCAGCAGACACTGGGTAGTGCTGCTGAGCTCGAACCAGCCAGTCCACAACTATAACATTTGAATCAGGTTCCCTCTTGTACAGAGCATCCACCAGCTTTGGGACCCAGCTTTCATACATTCCTGTCACCTGTTAAGTTATGATGATTTAAGAGACAAAAAAGGGAGACCTTGATATTACGTATGGCACAGAGACACCAAAGCATCTAATAGAGTATCAGGGGCGCAACCAAATGCCCCCCTTTTCTTCTTACCGTCCACCCATGGATCACCACAAAGGTTTTACTGGTCTGGTTGAAATTGCACTGTGCCAAGCTATCCATCTGCCCAGGAACCAGGTAGCAGACATCCTCATCAGGCTCTGCAGGTGTTCTTAAAGAAAACTTGCTCTCAATCCCTTCAAAATTCATCTCAGCTTCTGCTGGACAAGATCATAGTAAATACAGAGCAGTGGTTTAGAAGTCTTAGGACAAACAGAAGTCACAGTCTCCAAAGCTGGAGAGAGATTAGGAACAGACAAGAAATGGAACATGCTGTTTTAATTTCCCTCAGCAGCCACGTAGAAGGGAAAACAAAGGGTGAAAAACTGCTCATCCTCCAAAACCACTGCTAAAGCAGTGAGAATCTGCCCAGCTGTCCAACAAACATAAGTTCCTTTTAGGAGTCACAGTACATGAAGGAGAGCAGCAAGTTTCTCACCATATTATCATATGTTTTGATAGCATATCTTCTAACTTCATCACAATGGCTTTACCATGGCTTCTTTTAGGACACAGTAGTCACAGCTCACTAAAAATATGAGCTGCAAAGTCCAAATCTTATAAAACGCAGCTATTTTACCAGCAAAGGATCAATAGTAGGCATCAGATGTGCTAAGGAAACTAAACCAAGAAGGCAGAAGCCTGCATTTTGGAAGCAGTTTTTTTGTTTTGTTTTTTTTTTGTTTGTTTTGTTTTTAAAGATTATCTGATGAACAACACTTGAGGGGAAAAAGAAAAAAGAAAAAAAGTCTTCCTTTGCCTGAAACTATTTTGAGTCCATTTGGAGGGAGGAAAAAAAAAATCATGTACTGGCAGTAAGAAAACATATGGTGGTCTCAAAGGATCACATCTCAGAATTTCCTCCAGCTTCTACACCAATATATAAAAAATAAAAATAATTAAAGAAAATTTAAAAAAGTTATAGTTTTGTTCCTGTCAAGGAAGAAAAGTGACCTTAAGTTACCTGCTCGCTTCTTCCTCCGTCTGGGAGGAAAGGTAAATGAATCCTCCTTTTAGGTCTGATTCAACATCTACACACCTCTATAGCCAGCTGACCCTGTCATTAACTGTGGGCTTAAAACCCAGTGCTTTCCTGAAACCAGGCCAAACTCTGGCAACTTGCTTTTAGCAAATATTGATGGCCTGTTTTCCAAGTGCAGCTGAACTCAGGCCAGCTCCATCCTTCTCAGCGCTGTTCCCTGGCATCGCGACCACAAAGCTCTCACAAACTCCTACGCACCCACGCACACACACACATGGTTCCAAGTCACCACGAAAGGTTAGGCATGCCAAAACTCTTCTTTTGCCCACTGAAGAAAAGGCTTTTCCTAAATCTGGTGCATCTCTTTGTCTCCATAAAATTGTGCCTCAACATGCAGAAAAACTGATCACTGTTTCTAAAACTTGTTTTCTGGTCTTCTCATTCAAGCAGGGCATGCAGACTCCTGCCTGACCTCACTCAGCTCTTGGGCAGCTGTACAAAGACTGTGCGGATCCTGCTGTCCTTGGAAGGCCACAGAAGTCAAGGTCTAACCAAGCTCTGCAGCACAAGGTGCACAGACAGCACACTGGCTAGTAGCAAATGCTAACGTACAAGCCTTGGAGGGACAGCAGTCACCTGCAACCAACTGCTATTAAGCTGCCTGCGTTCCTGCACACTTGATGAAAGCAAAGCGTGCACAAAGAAGCTAGCAGGAGCTGCTCACTGAACAGAGGCAGAGCTCAGCTTTACGTTTGACCTTGGCTGTGCTAGGCTGGCCAGCTAATCCCACATAATTACACTGTGGGCCCCCTTCCTCCTCAAGAAAGGATGCGGCTCAGGAGAAACATTTTTCTCCTAGTATGCAGAATGATTCATATAGTGGTGAAGATAAGACTTACCTAAGCCATAGGAAACAAGTTATCTACCAAGTTAAATGCTGGTTTTCTCAGCAGCTGATCACTTCTAGTTGTTTCTGCAGACTCAAAACTTCATTTTCTCGCAACAAAGAGATCGTAAATAATAAAAAAAAAAAAAGATGTGAAGACTGATTGGTTAAATATCAGCTATAATTTTTCACTTAGCAGCAAACCAGTAAATCCTTGAAAGACCAGGAACAGCTTCCAAATCTAAGGCAACGAGGCAAGGACTTTCAATTATGTGTCTTCCTGTTGCACACAGGAAGGCAAACAACAATAGTCCACCTGCTCTCTAGTTAATAGTGCTTCCCTTCATATTTGGAAATCATTTCCTTTCTGAATTAAACATATCTGATAATCAAACAAAACCCAAATTAAATCCAAATCCCATTGTGTAGTGTGTTCTCAATTACAAACATATGCCAGAATCTGCACTTAGGTTCAGAATGCATCTTTTCTAGAAATAAGCTTCTGTGAAAACAAATTTGCAACACAACATGTACCTCACCTCGCTATGTTGTGGGAGGATTTAGAAAGTCAGAAATTACTGCAGCATCCATTCTGCTCAGAAGAAATATAATGGTGTGCAGCATTCACACATGTTCAAATCCAGGCAGCAAGATACCATCTGGATGAGGCAAGTGCATGTTGTTGAGATTGTTACTGACTTCTCAGTGACACACTAATCAGAAGCCATCCTCAAAAGCTGCCCAAGTTTGGCACTGCAAATTCTGTTTGGGTGTCAGAACAAGATCACTCTGTTCCTCATTCTGTGCTGCACACATTGCAGCACTGCCTCATTTCCCACCTGTGGTGTATTAAATTTTGGAAATACAGTACAGAGGCATGTACATAATAACAGATACACACTTACAGTGCATACTGACCTCAATAAATACTGAAATAATTTAAAATCATGGCTACAAAGCAGATTATTCTGGGAAGCAAGCATTTGCTATTTCAATTTTTGTACTTCAACGTACAACTCACTCATATTAAAAGACTAAGAACTGAACTGTCATACATGGACTTTTGTCACCGACCTTGCTTTAAATCAACAAGAAAAAGAAGTCTCTTTAATCACATCCTATTTGAGTTGGTCAAATATTGTGACAGTGGGTCTCATTTCTGCAGTCTTACACAAAGCCAAACAAATGCAAAGACAGACAACGCACACATACCACAGATTTGTTAATGATGTGTTTCAACTTGAGTTAGTTAAATCAAGGAAAATCCAAAATGGAGAGCCTTCAGCATTTTTCTGACAGGTGGACAGGAATTTAATTGAATTTGCATCTAAGTTTTACATAATGTAGATGGTAGAAGTTAGATGAAGAAATCTATGTGTATTCTTACTGAGATACTGAAGTCATTTTGGGATGAGACTGCAACTCTATTTCTAGAAGAGGCATCGATGAGGAACAGAGCTGGAGGTTAAAATTAGTAGATGAAACAAATCTATGCTTTTGCTAGAAATCACACTTTCTCAGGCTTAGTTCAGCAGGGGTATAAAGGCAAGTGCTGTGTCGCAAGAGCTTCCAGGTGCACAGTGATAAAAACAAGCCCCCATTACGAAATGAAGCTTTCAGGTCACCTTACTGACCGTAAGCTCACAGCAGAGCCCAGAAAGGGTTATTTACCTCTTAAGGGAACTGGAAAGGAAGCAAAATTAAGAATTAAGCCACCAGTTTAAGAGTGAAGCTGGCTTCACTTACAGCAGTGCTGCCAAACTCCATTTTAACATACTCCAATACTTAAGATGCCATCCATCTTAAAATTCTCCTTACAAAAATCTGTTTTCATCTTGTAAAAAAGCTGCTGTCTACATAAAGGTATAAAGGATATTTTAGAACTCAGAAGTGCAGAAAAACAGCTAGTAACTAGAAGTCAGTAATCTCATTTTTCTGCTTAAACCTCATTTCACTGACTTGGCTTTGCAATTTGTCAAATTCCGTTCAGCCCATGAATCCTGTCAACTCTGAAAACATCCCACAGTCTTAAATATTCTGACTCAATATAAACACAGGTTTACTCACTAATAACAGATCCAAATTCAAATTTCCTTCACGAGAAGCCAACGACAGCCTGGCAATTGTTTTAAACAAAGGAAACCATCAACGGTCTGATGGGTGAAAACAGTGAATTTTGAAGAAATGATGGCATCTGGAAGATAAATCAAAAACTCAAACAGCCAGCATCAGGTGCAGGATGCCAAATACAGTAATACTACATGTGGAAGAATCAGTGCAACTCCAATACAGCTTAAACAGGAATCTTTGGTAAACAATATCCTGGCATTACATACACAGAAACTGGAATACTATTAGCTAGGTGCAAAGATCATCAGAAGTTATACTGCTAGCCTGTGCAAACACAAGTCCACACACACAGAGGCAAACATCTGCACATAACATTAAACATTTACATAACCTGTTGGAGTTAAACAGATTAACTCATCCTCCCGCTGATAACCAGCATTAGGACAAAACATCCACCAGTTACACTGAACTCCTAAGTGAGCTCTGAGGCAAACCGATGGTCAGCTGTAATTAAGAGGCTATACAACAGGAAGCATGATTGCTTCACCAAATCTACACTATAAACTGCAAGCAGACTACCGCACTGTTATATGACAAAACCTTTCCCTTCAGTAAGGTTACAGTTTAACCTTACTGTGAAAGAAGTTCCAGCTTTCCAGATAGCAGAGCCCTGAGGTTAAGTTCCCCGCTCACTTCCCAGAGGAAGAACACCTCTGGACAACACAGAGCAGGTGCCACACGTGGCCCAGCCCTGCAGCTTGGCAGGGTGAGGGCATGCTGCGGCTGCTGTACTGTGCACATGGGTGCTACAGCTCTCTGAAGAGCTCCCTACCGAATGGATGCTTACTCAGCTGCAGCTGGGAGGCTTGTAACTCAATCCAGCAGCAAAGATCCTGCCATCCATCAGCTCCTCTGGGATATCTGGAATTAGCCCAAGACAATAAAACACAATCACTGCCAGACTATACAGTAATATAGAGGAAAGAATGCATGAGAAAGCCACAGCACAAAGAGGTTCCAGTGAACTTCCTCAGCAGTTCGATTGCTCATGGTACACCCACAGCATCCTCAGCCCTAAGCCATCTCAGAAGGGCATTTCTTCCGCAGAGGACACGCCACAGCTGCCCTGGCAGCTCTTCCCCAAACATGGCTACAGCAAAAGCCAACAGCTCATATCACACAACAGCATTAAAAAATGGTGTAATCCCTGACTCCTGATTTACACTGGTAAAAATAGAGATCAGCACGTGCCCTGAGCAATGTATTATCTTTTCCTGGAACACCAATGTTATCTTCACCTACAGTATCTTTTTCCATGTTGTTTACTAAATACTCTAGATTCCTGACAGGCTGCATCATGTATTTTCCATGGTTCCTAAGCATCTTTTTACCATGGTGTTGAAGACAGTGTCAGGCTCGAGGCTTACACAATTTTAGGACAACCACACAACCTGTTTTCATATAGTTTGTTCCTAAGGAGAAATAATGCAATCGTTAAGTGTATGACAAATCAGTTCTTAGAGGGGTGAAAGCCTGCTCTGGGAAGAGTTATTTTAACATATGACACTTTGGTACCGTGATGAAAACCACTTTTGATGCCTTTGATGGCACAAGACTGGATTCAAAGTGAGAATAGATTCCTTTGGCTGTGCCATAGCACCCCATCCTCTTTCTTGTGAGCAGTTCCCTTCAGTTTCCTCATACACTGTGGAGATAAAGGCATCTGCAGTGAAAAAGCAACAGCTTACATACTACACTTAAGCTTCACCCAGCAGTTTTGGGAAATTTTTAAGTATGTGGATTATTAAAGGATGCACTTGTCTGTCACACAACATCTAAGGTAGTAATACCATGACACAGCACCACTAACATAAAATTGAAGAGTTGTAGTATAACGAAATCAGACTCATTGCTTGCTATACTTGCAATCATGTTGTGCATTAACCAGAGAGTATTAGGAAACACCCAATAGTCAACAGGCACACGTGTGCTACTTTCTCTGTTCTGCACAGAGCCTACACAAAAATGTAGATATTATAGGTGTGTGTCAATACAGCTTGGAGACATCCGCTCCTCTGATAACATTTTTTCCTAATGGATTTTGTTACGTTAATGGCACTAACTGCTGCACAAATGCATCATTATGACATTGATGACATTCAGCCTTGTCTTACACACCACAGACTGGGAGCCCGGGCAAGCCGGGACTGAAGACAGGGCTCGAGATGCCAACCGTGATGCTACGGCTGGGCCCGCCTGCCTCTAGCAAAGGACTCTTAGGACACCTCGCTCTGGGTTAAAAAAAAAAGAAAACAAAAAAAAAAAAAAAAAAAAACAAAAAAAGAACAAAAAAACACAAGCAGATCCCAAACGCCCGAACCGCGAAGCCTCTCCAGTACTTCCCTAACGGGATGCGAGTCCCCCCGTTCCTTCTCCAACCCCACCCCACTAACCAGCAGGACTGAGAGCTGCAGCCCCGCAGGACTCTCCTCACCACCCACGCCCCAGAGCATCCGAGGAGCCGAGGGAGCCCCACACGCCCCTGCTGCTCTCCACCGTGCCCCGCCCCGCGCACGCTCCGGCTCCGGGGGACCGCCCCGCCCCGCGCCGCACCGCCACTCACCGGGATCTGAGCCGGCGGCCGCGCGCACGCAGAAGCAGAGCACGGCCAGCAGCGCCGTTTTCCCCATCCCGCGTCTTCGCTCCATGCGCTGTGCCGCGGCGGAAAAGTTTCAGTGTGAGGGGTTAGCAAACAAACAACAGCAACAACAAAAAAATATATATACAAGTTCTAAAACTTTACACGACTGTAATGTAAGGAAAAATAAAAAAATAAAAACAAACAAAAAAAAAAAAGAAGAACCGAGTCGCTCCGGGACAAACCCGCAGCAACGGCGCCCTCTAAAACCTGTAAGCAAACCACCCTCACTACTACTGTTAGTACTGCTGCCGCCGCCGCTGCTCCCTCCTGGCCCCTTAAGTCCCCGCCAATATGCAAATATGCAAATGAGCCCCCACGCCCATTGGCGCGCGCCGCGAGGCGTGGCCACCGCTGGCCCGGGCACAGGCGGCGGGGAGGGGGAGGGTCGGGCCGCTCCCGCGGGGCCCCGCGACCCTCACGCCCTCGGGCACTGCTGGGAGCCGTGAGCTCCGCCAGCGTGTGCGGCTCTCTCCCCGGCTCTGAGCCTGCGGACTGGGCGCGCTTCCCCAGCTCTTTGCCTCCCGGCCCGCCTGCAAGGCCTTCCCCTGTGTTCGCCGTCCTGGCTCCCCGAGCCTCGAATGCTAGATCCTCTCTTTCCTGTGCTGTTGTACCAAGAAGCAACTGGTGTTCAGCTCGCTGCTTGCGAAGCACCTTTTGCTGCTCGCATGAAAAGCCTTTGCCAATACTTTGTCTTGCCAGCAACCAAGGGGGTCCAAGCTGGGAGTGCAAGTTGCTAGAGGTTGCCATGTGTACTCTGGAGAAATGCAGACTTGCCTTTCCTAGTTTTTCAGCTCTCTGTGCCCCTCTGCCAGCAGTTTGCCATCTGTCACCTTTTGCTGCTGCCACAGGGTGAAGGATCAGTTATGTAAGGAAATGTAACAGAGAAATATTAAATTAATAACTAGCCTTGCTTTTATTTTGCATCGTGTTGTCGAATGCTTGGCTCCATGAAGTGTTCTTGGTGTAGGGAAGGAGGACTCCTTGGTTTTGGCAGCATGGAGCAAACACCATGCATTTCAAAGGCAGTGGCTTCTCAGAGTGGAAATTAAAACACATCTGGTCCCCATGGGCACAGCTGTTCAATAGGAGGTGGCTCAGGCAGAGCAGCACTGGGTCACCTCTGCAAAGTGCCAATCTGATAAAAGACCAATAAGATCCTAGTACAAGTATGCATCTCAGGTTGGGTATGAGGAAAGACAATTCTGAAAGAGTGCTGAAGCAACGGTACAGGCTGCCCATGGAGGTGATGAAGTCGCTGTCCGTGAAGGTGTTCAAGAACCAGGTGGATGTGGCACTGAGGGATGAGGTTAGTGGGCATGGTGGGGATTTAGTGGTCTTAGAGGTCATTTCCAGCCTTAATGATTATATGATTCTGTGATGTCAGCTTTTTATATCCAAAAGGCAGAATTTAATGAAGGTGCAACTGAGACTGAGACTTTTTTCCAGCCAAGATGAGGTGGGTGCAGGATATAGAGCAGCACAAGAGGCAGGGGCTGGGAACCAGAGGCAGGTGACAAGCAGTGAGGGGCTAGGGGTGAGGAGAGGGACCAGAGGATGGGCGTGTGGGCAGGAGAAGCACAGTGTGTGCTCACTGCTTTGAGTAAGTGTTGAACATATCCTCTGGCTGGTGGTTGCAACTCTCTCATCAAAACAATGGCAAGAATTTTCTCATGTCTTTTTTTCTTTTCTTTCTTTTTTTTTTTTTTTTTCTTTCCAACTGTGGTCTAAACAATGCATTTGCTATTGATTTAGTTTAGTTGAAGCTCTATAGTGTAATTTCCCCCCTACAAGTCAACCTGGCTCCATCCAGGTTCAGACATCCTTCCTAGAAAATTCCACTCCCTGCAGCCAACATTTAGCAAATGAAGAGAACAATGTAAAATAAGGCTCCATAACACAGACTGTCAGGCCACCATAGTCACAGGTGATACTTCCAAGCCAGTGGAGCAAAACAGGGCATGAAGGCGGTCCCCCATATCCTTCACAGCTATGCCAATGGCTACCACAGAAAAATAGTGTTTTAGAACACAGTGGTAAGAAGACAACTGGTACAGTATTAGTGGCAAGTGTGATGAGGTAGAACAGGGCCCTGGCAATGCCTGGCAGGCCAGCCCAGGGGTAATGCTGGCCCCCACAGCCTCTGCTAATCTGCAGGCTGTAGTCAGAATTTCAGTTAATTCCCAGTTCAGACAGTGGATTCTATCAATAGCCAAGGGCTGGCAGCAGATCTGCAAGCTTCTTGGAGTAATATCTAATTTGTTACACTGGAAATGCCTGTTCGCATAATTTTTTTGTTCCATCTCATGGCCATGCTTCATTTTAAGACATAATCTGAAAGAGTTATGCAAAGTCTCCATCTAAAAAAAAAAGAAAAAGAAAAGAAAAAAAATTGCAAACAAAACATTAAAAGCAAATTTTGATGTGATGAAAGAGAATAGGCAGAGTGGGAGGGAGCAAATCAGTTTTCTCAGATCTTGAACGAGTTGCCTAAGTCTGTTGTAAAACAGCTGCAAAATATTCTGAAATAATGGGCCTTCGTAAGGGCAGGACATGCCTGCCCGCCATGCAGTTGCACTGCTCTGACATAACACTTCTCCCAGCATTTATAAAGCACTCATTCCTTGCAGATGATCATGGTCAGACTGTGAAGGAACTTCATGGCATCAACGAAGCGTGCTTCAGTGCAGCCATCAGCTGGATTTGAGTTTTGCTTCCTCTGTAAAATACATAATCCTATAGAGGAAGCAAAACTCAATCTGTGAATCAGAGCCTGGTGTATCGTACTTGGGGATGCTGAAGTAAGTGGAAGGTAACAGAGCTGAAACATTATTTCCAATAGGAGTGGGTGGAGGCAGGGAGATGGGAGTTGCATAACTGGGCTGGTGCTTGCACCCACAGACCATGTGCAAGGTTAGAGTTAGACCAAGCCCACATGTGTCTGCTATGCAGTGTGAGAAGGCTGGGCTGTGTGGTGCATCTGGGTTAGACCTCAAGCAAATTCACTGTGTCACACAGCAGCAAGCAAGGGGAGAATCAACCCCAGCACTTATTTCCACTCCACCACACCTAAGAGGGCCTGAAACACAAGGCAAAAACCCATGTGTGAGAGAGAGAGCTAACACCATGACTGTGATCGTTGCTGTGCTGTTGTAGGTCTCTTCATACAGGTGATTAGATAGCTCAGGACAGGAGGTCTTCCAACAAGTATTATTTTCCTAGAAGCAAGCAAAAGCCTTGTTCTGCTTTCCTCTTTGTGAGGAGATGTGAGTAGGCAAGAGATCTCTGTTTTCACCCTATGAATATTTAAGTTTTCCTTCTGTGGAAGAGGAAAAAGGAAATTAAATTCAAAAAGAGTGATTTTCCATGTGATTTATCCTCTAGTAAGTTCATCAACAAGGAATCCTTCCCTCCTGCTTAAAGTTTGTTCAAAGATAGCAAAAGAGGTATTTCTGAAGGGAGGTCCTTGTGAAAACCAGCCATCTTATAATAAAAACATGGCTTGGGGGTAAGAAATGGTTTTCTCCAGCCTGTGAGCAACTGCTCCCTCAGTCTTCAGTGCCGAGAAGGAAAATGCTAAGAACTTTTTGTGTTCTTCACTCCCTTGCCCTTTCTAGGGCTGTGTTATGGCTTGCTCCTCCCTTCCCATGTAGCCTTATCTTGTGGACAAGGTCCTGGCTCGCTGATTAGTGGAAGGCTTCATTCTTCTTTGCCTCGCTCTCTGATTTTCTGTTCAGTTCAGAACTTTTCAGTTCAGAACGCAGGCTGTCCACATGCTCTCACAGAGAGCCCTGGGCTCCGACACAGCTTGTGTGGTGGGCCTGTGCCACTATTTTCTCAACTACACTTTATTTAATTATCACACTGCAGGCAGTGCCTGCCAAAGCCAGCATGCTGTCTGGCCAGACACATCTTTCAAAATGCAGTGCCAAGGGAGAGACATTCCCGCAGCCTGTTTGGCGTGGCAGGCAGGGGAGGACAGGCCTGCTTCACATCCATTGGCCGCAGGCTGGGCCCCTCACTGCCCCTCACACAGCTCCCAGCCCTGCCTGTAGTAGGGTAAAGATGACGTTGTCTGAAACTTCTGCAAGATTACGCAAATGTGTGAGGGCAGGGGGGAGAAGGAGAAGGGAGAGCTCGTGTCTGAGTGGCAGTGCTCTGTCCCTGCAACACTTGGGCATGGCAGGGCAGGGGCAAGGCCCACATCCTACCAGTGAGGTGCCTGGTGGGCAGCCTTCAGCCTCCCCTGTTCCTTTTACACCAATTGCTAAGCCCGTTCTCTAATCATGGGAACAGAACCCTCTGCTTGGGCCCCAGCCTGGCAGTCTGCATCCTGCTTGCCTCGGGGACAGCGAGGAGGCTGAGGCAGAATGCGTGTTGAAGCCAGCGTGGGAAAGCGTGCGTGTTGTTTCCATCTCAAGAAATGTACCAGGGAAGAGAAGCCACTTCTCTGGCCTCTGGGCTCCCCAGCGAGGAATAGGATAATCGCTCACTTTCTGCTTCCCCTTTACTTTGCTCTGCAGCGCTGACAGATGGTGTGTGGTGCAGCCAAGACTGGATTCCAGCTTGTATCTCCTCCGGTCGCTTGCGACTTACTCAGAACAGATTCCTCCTTGGGTTGACATTTCCATCTCATCCCAAAGGGGATTTGTTTTTAATTTTCGTTTAAAGTTTAGGCTGAGCTAGCATTGCTGCTCTGGGCTTTCGCAACTGCTGTGTAAAAACTCCCTCCTGGCCTAGTGCTGCTGATGTGGACATCTAACCCAAGCGCTCATGGAGAGAGGGCTGTGCTCCCCCAGGACAGGTCGGCACGCCTGCAGTCAAGGCAGGCTCATGGTGCACCACAAGGGACTGTTGAGGGATCTTGTAACGATTTTGTGCTCCTGAATTTCATATGCCTCAGTTCCATGCCCAAAATTACAGTTTATTCCTCTTCACATGCACATGTGGGCACATCCACGTGCATGTGTGCCCTCCCCATTTTTCTCTTCCTGCCGGGTTTGTACATAGCTAGCTTGATGTAGATTTAGGACTCTGATATTGGTCCCCAGTTCCTGTGTTCAGTATAAGATAGGCAACTAGAATATGCCAAAGAAAGGGGGGAAGTTAATTTGAGAACATCCCAAAGATTGAAGTGCAGGGCAACTGAGGCAAGAGGCTGAGTATCTCTCTCTCCAGATCCTGTTCAGTGATTCAGAGTCACAGAATCACAGAAGCACAGAAATGTAGAGGCTGG